AAGCTGGCATAGATCCCATGAAGTCAGTGTAACCATATCACTGTGATATGTACTTAACAAACCTCATGTATAAGTTCCTTTGAGTCTTATGTTGTAATTTTTTTACTATCTTGTAGTTTTAAAATGACTGCTTTGTTTGGGAGCATTTTGAAAGTCAACTGGAGGGCATGAAGTTTCATTGTTTTATAGTTGATAGGGTTGGAAGGTACCTGAGCAGATCATCAAGTCCAACCCCCTGCCATGGGCAGGAAAGGATGCTGGGGTCAAATGACCCCAGCAAGGTGATTGTCTAGCCTCCTTTTAAAGACCCCCAGGGTAGGAGCAAGCACCACTTCCCTTGGAAGTCGGTTCCAGATCCTAGCTACCCTGACAGTGAAGTAGTGCCTCCTGATGTCTAGCCTGATCAACTTGTGGCCGTTATTCCAAGTTGATTAATCCTAAATGAGTCAAGCTGGTGAAGCAACAAATGTGGTTTATTATGATAGTTACCATATTTTCTCACATGCAACCCACTCCTTTTCCTTCAAAACCTGCTGCAGATGCACATTATATGCAAGGAAAAGGGCTCCCTTTCCTCCAGCAAATCCCTTCCCCAGTCATGTGCCAGATCAGGATGGTATGCTGGGTTGGTCTGCGGCCAGAGCTAGCATGTTGGGTGCAACCCAGCAAGTGGCTCCAAAACCAACTCAGAGCTGGTGTGTGGCCCAGTCCCATGTGGCCAGTGTGCAGAGATGGACCCAACACGCAGCTCCAGCACTGACATGCCAAATTGGGCCCCACCAGCACCAGTGTGCTGGATCAGGCTCCAGTTCTGACCCATGGCCCCAGAGTCTATGTGCCAGATTGGGCCCCAGCCCCAGCATGCAGCCCCGAACCCCAAAAGACCCAGACTTTTGGTACCTACCCATATTGCATGGTGAAATTTTTCTCCCATTGTTGGGGCCTTCCAAAAACAGGGTGCATGTTATATGTGAGAAAATACAGTAGCTTTTCAGGCATCAGAGCAATGCTGATACTGTAGTCCAGTCCACTAGTTTCCAGACCATTTTCTGAGTGAGGTCCTCAGCAAAGCCTCCCCGCCAACCCTCTTTCTGAAAGAAAATCCAAATGGCTGGAACTGAAGAGGCACTAACAGCACACTGCTAAGCAGAAATTTCCTCTGTTGAAGTCTTAGGCCTCTAAGAGAGATTCATTTTAAGGCATGATGGGATCTGACCCCAATCCCAGCAGTTGTGTCTCCTGCCAGGCTACACATGCATGGCAGGACACATGATTCTGGGATTGGGGATTAGATCCCAAACATGACTTGCCAGATGGGGAGGAGCCTAGGATCATGATTCTGGGCTTGTCATATACCAGCAAGTTGAAAGTCAGGTACCCACAATGAGCTGATTGCTAGCTAGGGCTGAGACTAAACTGGGGTCTGGAATCAGCCCCAGTCCAATCCCGGTTTAGCTGTCAGTCAGCTGATTGTCAAAACCCAAGTTGGGCAGCACCCATTCATCCCCATGTACAGGGACCTTGGGACTGGGCTGCTGTGGCACACATGGTTTTATTGGTTATAGTGCATGGGAACCCCTGCTGCAACCTGATCCTGGGAACCCCATGAGCTGGGATGGGTAAAGTGTATTTTTTATCAGTCCTGGCACATGGGGACTGCAGGATCAGGGAGGTTCTCCCTAATCCCAGGTCCTGTTGTATCGGGACCTTTAAGAGCTTTGTGTGCAGCTGGGCTGTACACCCAATTTTCTCACGTCCGTAGTGCATGGGGACCTTGGGATTGGGAAGATGCTCCTCAATCCCAGGGTTTCCAGTCATGAGGATATCAGAAAACCACATGTCCAGGCCAGCTGCACATGCAGTTTTTTAAGGTTTGGGGTGCCGTGACCCTGAGATTGGAGACATACTCCGTGACATGGGGCTCACTGGATCCCTCATCTGCTTCTGATGGTCAAATAGGGGATCCAAAGTCCAGGGATCCCCTATTTGACCATAAGCCTGATTGGGTTGGCCCATGATGGATCCCAATACTTATCTAAGCACTGGGATCTGTCATGGGCCAGCCGTAACTTGCCACACCTTCAATTTAACATGATACAAATGAGCCAGACAGTTGTTACACATGATATCTGGAATAACTGTGAGGCTTGTTTACTGTATTATCACTAGGAACTGGTTTAAATTATGATTTTGCATTTTTTTGTAAAAATCACGAAATTAAGTGATTTTAATTAAAACTGATTTGCAATACAGTGCCAGGATATGGCCACTTGCTGGGGAGTTCCCCAACAACCAACCATATCATGACATTTTGTTGCAACAAGATGGTTGCTGCAGGCTGGGGAAAGCATTCCCCAGCCATCGGCTCAACCCAGGAGAGTGGGAAAGGGGTTGCAAAAGGGACAGGATAGGGAGAGAGCTTTGGTGTGGGTGAAGCTATTGCTGTTGCTACAAAGTCTGAGGTGATCACAACCATAAAAATGGTGCTGGCCCCACATTTCCTACAGCTTGTGAATGCCCAGGAGATTATTGATGATTTTCTACGCAAGGAGTTTCCCAGCTGCATTGAGGAAATGGATGAATGCACATTCCAGTTCTCTATTCCTCTCCACCAGGCCTCAGAGTTCATTAGCGGTAAATGTTTTTTTCCTTCATCATGCCGCAGGGAGAAGGGAAATGGTCCAGAAATGTACATGGTATACAGATTTTCATCAACTCCACCTCAGTTTTGCTGACAAGGAAGGGAAGGTTTGCTAGTACTGCTCTCCACAGTTAAGTGCTACTATTTCCCCTCCATAGGCATTTGATAGCCCTGCCCACCTGTTGCTTCCATGGCCAGTGAAGCCTTTATATTGGGCACCTCGACTGCAGAAAGGAAAAGAGCAGCTGCAGGATGATGGTGCCTATGCCCTTAGGTGGGTCTAGACCAGGCTGTGCACCCATTTGGTGGCTAGCTGGAGACACCATACAGTCCTTTTCCAGAATGTTGATGGCGTGCTGTATTTTGCACAACATTAGCAAGAGCAAAGATGAGGGCCTAACTGAGTTTGTAAGCAACATCTGAAAAATCTGCTTAACAGTTTGAGCAATCAGAGCCATGACCAATTGTCAGCAGCAAACAACAGGAAAATCTCAACTGACAAAGAGTGGCCACTGGCACCTACAATGAGCAGCATGTGTGAACATAACTGTATACTGCTGCAACACATGCATGACCACAGCACTGCTTGCAGCAATTTTTGTCTGGGGAATACCAGTAATAGATGTTTATGTATGTTACTTTTGTGCTCTTTCCACTGCCTATCTTGTAATAGCAAGCCCACTGGCTTGCTTGGACAGAGAGAGCCTGTGGGCACTTAGCTGGTGTGATTCAAGGTAATCATGTTCCCCTGGGGCACTAATGGGACCTCCAGACCACCCCTCACAATCTCATCTTCAAACCACCAAAACAAAATTGGGTTGGGGAACTCCCCTCTTGTCAGCACGGAGGCAGAAAAGGATCTTGGAGTCATCATTGACTCCAAGATGAACATGGGTCGGCGGTGTGGGGAGGCAGTCAGGAAGGCCAACCGTACCTTGTCATGCATCCACAGATGCATTTCAAGCAGGTCCAAAGAGGTGATCCTCCCCCTCTATGCGGCACTG